GCATCATGGGCATGAGAGGCAAAGCACTCAGAATTGTGGAGTCTGAATGCGGTTCGAAACCATCAGCAAACTTGGGCATCGAACAAACGTCAAGTTGTATGGAATCATGGTAAGACTGTATCCTAGAAAATAGTACTGGCGGCCGCGGCGGTGGTGCATCCGGTGGCGGGTATCGTTTAGGGTTGTTTAAGAAATCATCGGCCACTGAAGAGATTGGAACCGATGCGGGCTCATCTACTTTCCTGGAGCCTACTGTGCAGAAGCCTAAAAGAAAATTTATGGGTTTGCGACAAAGTAAAGGAGCTTTACACTAATCTACCTCGAACAAAAAGAGAGAGCATGAGCGGAAGGAAAATTAGTCCGTGGATGAGACCAATTGATATCGCCAAAAATACCTGTGATAAGTAATCAATGTTGAGTTAATGTTTTAGAAAAGTTGTGCACACGGAATTTCTAATGGTTGAGGTTTTCTTGTTCTTTCAGGCCAGCTGTTACGGCCTTGCTATTAGAATGTGCCATAACGTAATTTACTAAGTAGCACTGATCCTCTTGCAAATAGTTCCTACGAATGAGCTCAAGGTGCAACTCCTTCCTCCCCTCTCCCCTCCTCAACACATCGTTGAGAAGGAACTACGGTAGCTTTTCCATAATTCGGAACCCTTTCCAAATTTCCAATTCCCCTTTTCCCTCTTGGGATTGAAGCAAGACCTGACAAAACTTGATCTCTAAATTTTCAAAACAATTTCTTAATTCTGGCGAAATTTAGTACGTGCTGTACACGATAAGAAAAGTTGTACGGGGATTCTAGAAAATAGGCTCCTATAATCTTCTGCTACATAAATTCTCACTAGTTTAGCTTTCTTGCGAATTCACTTAGCAATGCTTAAAGGAAAGTGTTTGAGCGGATAATCAAAAGCAATGCTCTAGGATTCCAACTAATTTAGCACTTCAAAATTTGTTTTTAATAGTGAAAAAATCAGAGAGAATAAGTACCGTTTTAAAAAACGTGACAATCATGTAGGCAGGCACATCGGCCAACACAGCTACAGCCAACACAGTAGAAGTAGCACCTTGGACGACAGGCCATCCAAGATCGCCCAAGGCATCGCGAACTCGCTCACAAGGTTGTTGTTCTTTTGACACTACATATCCATAAGCGATGTGGGCAGAGTAGTCTACAGAAAATCCAACAGACATGATGATAGTGATCATTGAAATGGCATCCTCAAAATGGAAAAAAA